GAGCAGCAGCTTGCGCACACGTGAGTGGGGAGAGGTCCATCTGGTTTCGGCACCTCGACAGGTCGACGTGGGGAATGCCTGCCAGCGCACTGGCATCGCACAAATGGACTTCTCTGATCCTCGCCGACCTGTGGAATCCTAGCCCAGGGAAAACCAAGTCCGATGGGAGGCCAGCTCTGGAGAGCAACACAGTGTACCTGCTCGAATGTGCCATGAATTGCTTCCATGGTGTTGTGCAGCGCAAACTCCAAGCGCCTCACGTTGCTGAAGGCGACTGTGTCGATGGGTGCATTGGCGGCATCGATGCGGAGCGTGTCAATATCGGAGGCCGCGAGGAAAGCAAGCTGTTCGTCGACGCGCAGAGTCACGGTGCCTCCTCGTGTGCCGGCCAGTGCGGTGAGGCGAAGCTCGTGCCATATGTCGGCTGCTTCTTGGTTTTGAAGTTGTGCGTCGAGAAAGAACAGGGCTGGGCAAAGCACAGTCTGCTGCTGCTGTTGCTGCTGCTGCTGCTGCTGGTGGTCCTTTCGGTCGTCCTGGTCTTGCTGCTGGAGGTCTTCCTGCTGCTGGTCTTGTTGCACAGACTGCTGTTCCTGCTGTTGCTGGTGTTGCTGGTCTTCTCGCACCACTTGAGGGGTGGTGCTGCTCGCGGAAACGGAATCGCCCATGGCTGTGGCCTCTGCCAACACAGCTGTCGAGGAGGTGTCTGCACGCTGCCCCCCACGATCTGGCGCGTTGGCCCATAGGCTGACAGCATCCAGGTCACGAAAGCGCACACGGCCACAAGTGGCAAAGACATCCGAGAACCCGTGCCCAAGAAGCGGAGGTGTGGTGGCCAACCTGATGAGGAAACGGCAATCGCTGTGCCAGGTTGCGCCGAGCCAGCTGTAAGCCAGGAAGCGGCGCTCCAGCCACACAGCCAAGGATGGCGCGGCAGCAGGGTCGGAGGTGACATCGTGTGCTGTGGTCGCGTGTGCATCGGCAGGCTGCAAGCCGCGCGACGCGGGCTGTCCAAGGCCAAGCAACCTGGTGCTGTCTTCGTCGAAGAATGTGATGGGCTCCGAAAACTGTCGACAAGGCACCACTTCCACTTGCTCATGGCTTGGGGCAAGTCAGCTCCCGGCAGGAGAACATGATGTTGAAGAAGGTGCGTACGCTGTCTCGCTCAGCCTGTTGCCAGTAGGCGAACCGCCTCCTGCGTGGCTGATCCGCATGGCCGTGCTCTTGGAGTGTCGGCGGTGGTGTCGACACCAAATGCTCCGCAATCAATGCAATGTGGTGTGCGGACAGCCTGGTCATGGCGGCGACGCCAGCCACGTGGCGAAATGAGGTGTGAGGTGTGTGTGTGTGTGTGTGGGCGAGAAGGGGAGGTCAGAAGGAACGGGTGAAGAACAAGGAAGAAAGGGAGGGAAAGAGGAGAGGGGAGGGGAGTGGGAAGAGACAGAGAGCAGAGAGAGCAGGGAAGGGGGGAGCGCAGCCACGTGGTTCTGTGGGTTCAGCGTTGAGTGGCAGTGCCGCAGTTGCAGTGTCGATTGTTGTCCGTGTGTCGACAACGCACAGAAAAATCGCACACACACGCACAAGAAAACACAAACAACAAGGAGCGAAGAAGAATGAGACGACGACTTGCAGTGCGTGTCTGCTTGTGGGTGGTGGTGCTCTTGTTTCTCGCAAGCACGCTGCTGACGACACTCACACCTCGCACTGTTGGGGTGGTGGTGAATGCTGCTGAGGACGGCGGCGAGGATGGCGGCGACCCATTTGTCAGCGTGGACAGCAACGGAGACCTGCGTGTGGACGCCGGCACTTCCGGCAACCTGGTGCTTGTCAGCCATCATGACATTGTGCTGAACACCACCACCAACAACAACAACAGCAGCAGCAGCAGCAGCAGCAGCAGCAGCAGCGGAGGAGGAGGAGGAGGAGTGTGGATCAACGGCATCAACGTGCTGCAGGACCTGGAGCACCTCCGCCAACTCGCTGCCACATGCAACGCAACAGCACCATCATCACCGCCGGCACCGCCATCACCGCCGCCAACGCCCATGGTCCTGGACTGTGCGTCGTCGGGATCGCGCGCTGCGGTGCGCGCCCAGAGCCAGCCCATCATCACCCAGGTCATCAACTGCTGCTGCGAGGAGTTCCTCGCTCTCGACGACGTTGACGGGCCCGTGAGCGTCTCCAGCACTCAGACGTCGCTGTCCTTCGGCACCATCCAGAGGATCGGCGGGGATGTGCTGGCCACCAGCGGCAGCCTGACCATGGTGGACTTCAGCAAGGTGACGTTTGTGGCGGGTGCCGTGGACCTTCGCGGCAACTCCATCTCCTCCATCTCCTTTGGCGGTCTCTTGCGCATCGGCGGCTACCTGGATGCCAGCGTGAACAATCTGGAGATGCTGGACTTTGGTCGCATCACGCGTGTCGGCCGCCACATCACCCTGCGCGATAACGACCTCACAGCCGTCAACTTTGCCGGGCTGATGCACATCGGCGACATGCTCAGCATGGAGCAGAACATGCTGCAGTCCGTGCACTTCCGCCGCCTCTCCAGCATTCCAGGAGCATTGGACCTGTCGCAGAATCCCCCGCTCACAGCTGTGGACTTTGGCGGCATCACCGCCATCAGCGACAACCTGCTCCTCTACAGCACGGGCTTGCAGTCGCTCAACATGGCGAACGTGACGGTGATTGGGGGCTTGGCCCTCATCTTCAGCAACGCCATCACCGCAGTTGACTTTGCCTCCTTGACGCGTGTTGGCAACTCACTCCAACTGTACAACAACAACATCATGGGCACGCTCGATTTTCACAATCTGCGGGCGGTGGGCGCACGCGTGCACCTCTCGGGCAACTCGGGCCTCACCGCCGTCCAGTGCCGCAATGTCCAGGCAGAATGCATTGATGTGCCCAGCTTCCAGAACCTCCTCGCCTGTCCAACCAGGTGCTGACTGTGTTGTGTTTTGTGTGTGTGTGTGTGTGTGTGTGTGTGTGTGTGTGTGTGTGTGTGTGTGTGTGTGTGTGCACGTGTGTGTGCTTGAAATCCCACACCACACGCCACGTACACATCATGCATGCGTTACTTCATGTGGCTGTGTGTGCTTTCCCCCTGCAACATCATGGTCAGCTTGACCACTTGCCTGGCCCGTGTTCACTTCGCGCAACATTACGTCATGCTCGCATCGCTTTGCCCCCCCCCTCCCCTGCCCTACTCTCCTGCTTGCGCGATCACGGCCACTTCCGTCTTGTGAACCGGTGTTGATTGGTTAGTCATGTCACGCACGTCACTGATGCTTCAATATGCTGTGCACGTGTTCTTTGCCTGCGCTGTTTCACCTTGCTTCATAGCTGGCCTGCAAACGGCTGCCACTTGTCCATGCTGCCACATGACTTTCATGAATGAATCATGTCAGCACGCGCTTGTCTGCTTATGTGTGTGTATGTGCGTGTGTATGTGCGTGTGTGTGCGTGTGTTGTCATCTACAAATCAACAACCATGTCTCGACGGGCACTGAGAACCAACCACACCAACAAATATAACCTGGATGCTGTGGCAATGTATGAACTCATGTATGTGTCTATGTATGAAGCAAGAACGCACTGCCAAGCGGCAGATCAAATCAAAATAAAGCCGGCAAACATGTGGACATACCGCCGTGTCGACGCTTGAACAAGCACAGACAGTGACGCCACGAAACACAGTGGCCACATCAACAACAACGGAAGAACACACTTCTCTGGATACAGAGCACAACGGAACTGCACACCGCACACCAATGCGTGCAGGCAACGCTTCTTGATACGGCTACGGGCATTACCAAAACACCAAACCAACAAGAGTAATCCACATACGCACATCCTCTCTCCCTGCTGTGTCTCTCTCACTCACACACACACACACACAACCACACGCACACACACACAACACCCCCCTCCCCCCCCCACACACACAGCACACAACCACATCACACACACACACACAACCACACACATCACACACACACACACACACACATTACACTTCAACGCTTTCTGATTCTTGGATGGAGATGGTGACGCTGTTTCCATCACCTCGCGTTCCCGTCCCCTCGTCCACCTCATCGTCATCGCTGCCCTCCATGATGGCGCTGTATCTGCGGTTGTTGGGCGAGGCCTCTGCATCCACCGCCGCCAGCGCGTAGTACGACGAGCGCTTCTTCTTCGGCCGCGACGCGTCACCATCATGGTCATTGTGGTCATCACCAGGGGGTGCGGGCATTGCCGACAATGGCGACGACGACGACGGTGGTGGTGGTGCTGGGTTGCGTGGGGTGGTGGAGATGCGACGGCTGCCAAAGCTGTCACGTGACAGGGCCTCAAACTCCTTTGCATCATTGAGCCACGACACGGAGCTCAGGGACACGCGCGCCGATGCTCGGCTCTCGTGCGTTCCTGCCGACTGCCGCCCAATGGACGACGCACGCTTCTTCTTGAACACAAACCCGCCCCCAATGCTGTCCTTCGGCTGCGCGCTGTTCCTGTGGCCGTCGGCGTCATCACCGCTGTGCTCTTGATCGTGACAATCGCCATCATCGATGTCGCAGCTGCTTGCATCGTCACCCTCGCCCATGTCAATGACGGTGGCCTCGTTCTCCGCAATGGCAACACGCCCCGTCTGATCAGGCTTCTTCGTGCTCACCAGCCAGTATGTCAGCATCTCGCCCTTGCCCTTGATGTTCTGCACCCCGCGCGACTCAAGCTTCACCCATGGCGCCTGGCTCCGCACGCGGTCCCCCGCAGACGTCGACACGTGGATCTTGTTGCGCTCGCTCGAGCTCTCCATGCGCGACGCCGTGTTCACCGTGTCCCCAAACAGGCAGTACCGCGGGTTGCGCCGCCCAACAACGTTGGCCACGACAGGGCCGCAGTGGAACCCAACGCGGATGTTCACACACCCGAGCTCCGGCCGCTCAGGGTCAATGAACGTCGACTGCGCCGCCTTGATGGCGTCCTCCGCAAACTGCGCAATGCGGAGCGCGTGGTCGTGCTGCGGCTCAACAAGGTTTGTTGCCGCCATGTACGCGTCGCCAATGGTCTCCACCTTGAACACGCCGTGCTTCTCCGTCAGCTCGTCAAAGATGCAGTACAGCCGGTCGAGCATGTCCGACACCGCCGCCGGCGTCAGCTGCGCACTGATGTTGGTGAAGCCCACAATGTCGGAGAAGAAGATGGTCACGTCGTCCTTGTGCTCCGGGTGCACCTTCTTGCCCTCCTCCAGCATCTTGGCAATGTGCTCTGGGAACACGTCGTTGAGCACCGTGGCCTTGTTGAGTGCGTCCTGCTTCTGCTGAATGAGGCTTGCGCCCACCTTGCTGATGTTCAGCTCGCCCAGCTGCGCGTCCACCTGGTCGAACGTTGGCCGGAACTTGGGCTCCTCGGACCAGCACCGCCGCGCAAGCTCAGCCAGCATGACGGGGCACGAGTCTGGGATGTCGGGTCGCTTTGCCGGCACCTGGCGCGCGGCGATCTGGCGGAGCACCTCCGACGCGTCCTCATCTGGGAACGGGTCCTGCCGGCTGTAGATCTCGTACACCGTGATGGCGAAGCTGTACACGTCCGCCTCCCGTGTCACCTCTCCTCCGCGCAGCACCTCTGCATGGTTGTGATGATTGGTTGGTGAGGGGTGGTTGTGTTGGCGATGATTGTGAGTGGCAATTGTGAGTGGTTGTGGTTGGAAGGTATGGTGTTTGTGTTGACGTAGGAGGGAAAGAACGCAACTCTGCAGTACACACACACGCCTGAATACACATGCACGTGCTTGCATGCATGCACATTCACAGTAGCACATCATCACGTGCACACCAGCACACACACACACACAAACACACACACGCACACATCACACAGGCACAGGCAAACACACACACACACACACACACACACACACACACACACACACACACACACACACCTGGCGCCATCCACATTGGTGTGCCACAGCCAAAGCGTTGCTTTTGCGACAGCCCGAAATCAGCAACCTTGGCCTTGAAGTTGCCATCCACAAGCACATTCTTCGTCTTCAGGTCGCCGTGCACAACCGGTGGCTTGAGGTTGTGGATGTAGCGCATGCCAGACACAATGTCCTTGACAATGGGCAGCAGGAACATGTCTGGTGTCGGCAGCTTGTCGTTGCGCAGGAAGTCATACAGCGACCTGTCGTTGGTTGGAGCAGCGTTCGGTCAGCGATGGGTTGTGGCAACCAATTGTGAGCGATGAGAAGGGCTCTGCCAGTTTGCTTGCAAGCATCCCCAAGCAGCACGCGACACACACGCACACACGCACACAGACAGATAGACAGGTAGAAAGATAGACACACACACACACACACACACACACACACACACACACACACACACACACGCACACACACGCACACGCACACACACGCACACGCACACAACTAACCCGTGCTCGAGGTATTCCATGACGAGGAGAACTTCGCTTGACTTTGTGACGATGGCGCCGAGCATGGTGGCGACGCACGGGTGACGCAGGCGCGACAACAGGCGAATCTCCGCCATGAACTCAGACCTGCGAAACAAGAACATGCAACAAACGGGTTGATGAGTAGCAGCCAGGTGATGCTTTCTCACCTCCAGCGCACCAACACACAAAGATGCACACACAAACATAAACACACACACACACACTGACAAAACAGCCATCGCACGCACTTGGCGTTGGAGATCTCCTTGCTGTGGCCGGTGCGGGCTGTTGTTGCCTTGTTTGCTTCCGCATCCTGCCACTCCAGCGCCCGCTCAATCGCTGCCTCATTGTCGACGTTGCCAAACTCCATGCCAAAGCCATTGGTTGTCTTGGATGCTTGGATGGTGCTGGTCGCGTTCATCGAGTACACGTCGACGTTGCTGCTGTCAACGGTGCTGGCACCCTTGGCACTGCGCTTGCTGCTGGCGATCCTGCCCCTCGTGCGAGTGCTGCGCCCGTTTGTGTCTGTCGTCTTCTTGGATGATCGTGGCATGACGCGCTTGATGGCGATGGCGGTGCCGTTCAGCTCCCCCTTGATCACAACACCAAACGCGCCCATTCCGAGCACCTCGGGCGGGTCGCTCACAACAACGTCTGCCGCGTCAATCTGCCACAGCTTGTCTGCGCCTCGCCGCACCAGCGCAATGGCAATGTACACGCCGATGCCAATCACAGCCAGGGCACTGCCGATGAAGATGGGCAAATACTCCTTTGCCTGCATGCACCCGCCATTGACTTCCAGCGTACCCACGGGGCATTCGCACTTGTTGTCCTGCGTGGGCTCCATTCCATCTGGGCAGTCGCGTGGCGAGACCTGAAGCAGGAAGGGGCTTCCATCAATGGGCTGCCACTCGGTGATCTCCGTGTTGCGGTCAGCAACATAGATCTGCATGTGTATGTGTGTGTGTGTGCGTATGTATGTGTGTACATGCGCGCGCGTGTGTGCGTGTTTTGGGTGAGATGGGGCATCAAAGCACGAAGCGGGTGGGGGCAGATCGGTGGGTGACTCAGATTGTGAGAAGGCTCATGCAGGCGTGAAGAAATGCACATGGAGCCACTGTTCTGAATTTGCTGCGATGGCGACGCAATCACAAGTGCATGCCTGCTCACCTCAACAACGCCAGTGCCGTAGCGGGTGCCCGTGGTGTCGAATGCCGCCAGGTTTGGGATAGTGAGCAGCGGCATGGCTTCAGTGCTGACGTGCCCTCTGCTTCTGCCCAGAAGAGGCTGACAAAGTAGAACAATGTGTCCTTGTTTGGTCGCTCAAAATAGAGCTGGTCCTCCAGAACGAAGTGGAGCGTTTGCGCCTGCTGTGAAAATGCGCACACACGCATGCGCTCGCACGACGTCAACAGCACATCCCGGGCTGCCACGGCGGTGTCCTGTTGGAAGAACTGCTCCGTCACCTGCACCGGAGAAACGTGTGCCTGCAGGCAAGAAGAAGCAACCAGAGACCACAATTGAATGGTTGAATGAGCGACGTTGGGTTGAACGAAACCAACCACAGCAAAAGAAAGCAGATGGACGCACGAAAACACGCACACAAACATGTGTGCAGGCAGTCAAGTAGATCATACACACACTCACGCACACACGTACCAGCACAGGCGGGGACTTCTGGCATGGGCGGCAAAGGCAGCGGGCTTGATCGGGGCACGAGCGGCCGGCACAGCGGGTGGCGAGCACGACGTGGTTGTAGATGAAGTGCGTGTTTGGGCAGATGACCTGAGAGGCCACAAGCTCGCTGGTGTGCGCGTTGGAACCCGCGTCACCACCTGAAGCGGCCAACACGACGGCGCCAGGTTCGTCGATTTGCTCAGCGTGTGCTTCGCCAACATCCATCGCAACGGCGGGTGCTGCACCCTCGCTGTTCTCCGGAACGACGACGTGGGACGCCTTGCGAACGCAGCGGGTCTCTGTCGTGCGCACAAGATCGCGCTCAATCACGCCAAAGTTCTCCTGTGTTGGTGGTTGTGATCATGTTGGAGCGAACGTGATAGGTGGGGAATGAGTGTGT